ACTGACGCGGATCGCCAAAGATGGCGGCACATCCGTTGACGCGGGCATTGTTTTGGTGGTAGTCGCAGCGAACGCGGTGTCGCACAACTGACTGTGCGGACTAAACTATCGGCTGCTCAATATTCACACAAAATCTCTGTATCTACCCACCGTAGAGACTGTTGACTGCTTTGCAATGCCGCTTGCGACAGTGGACGCGGCAGTGCTGACGGTGCAGACAAGTATGGGTAAGAGCGTAGGGCATCTGGTGATGCAATCAGATGCCCCACCATGCCCTGTGGCATGCGCAATGTTTTCACAGTACAGATAGCAGAGGAGTGAATTCTACCCCGCGGTCGGTGCGTCGCTGGGATTCACTACCCACTCCATCCAGTCAGGTAATGACAGGAGTCCCCTCCTTCCCTTAGGTATCGCTGCTGCAACGGGAAATCTTTCTTCCAGCGACCTTCAATCTCCGATTGTGGACTGCCGTCAGCCGGAGTTGTCGGCCCCACATCGACATTTGCCGCCTGACCGTACACGATGTTGATTCAGCAATGAAGAAGGGGGAAGGAAAAAAAGAAAAAAATAAAACCAGAGAGGCACCAAGACATTCTTCCAATATGCAGCCTCCTGAGGGAAACAGCTATGCAGCAGGACGGGACACTTCATGCAGGTGCACAAGTTGTTGCGGGTGGGGTTGGTCCTGGTGCGTTTGGAAAGCGAAGCCATAACTTGATGGAGAAGGGGAGGGTTAACCACCATCTCAATTGAATGAGCTCGCATCGGTGAAGACTATTTGAAAAGTTACATGTACGTTCCATTGCCAACTATCAATCCCCAAACCAAACTTTCCGCTCGTCGTTTAGACAATGACTGGGCTCATGCTATTCCGGTGGCATAGTCGGACCCGGCGGAGAACCATCACCAAGAACTGTGTTGCCATCGGCCAAGTAAATGCACACTTTTTGCAATCAAAGGAGTGGCGAGCTTTGATGTTATTTCACCTACCTGATTTTATTTTTTTCTCTTATTTTGCAGTAAAAGTTGTCACATTCGCGGCTGCTATTCGTCAGCTTTCACAGGAAAATAATGAACGCCATCACCGCCAGCGTGTTGTGTTGTCTAGTGGGTGAAGTACTGCCGCAGCATGGTTTCTACAATATGAACGGACCGATACTTCGGGTTGCCCGACTCATTCTGCGCATTGCTCGCTGATCTACTGGACGACGGGACCATGCCTTGGCTTCGGAATGTCATCGAAGACCGCATGTTGCATGTAGGGTCAGAAAAAGCGGCATTGTCCGACTCAACTGAGAACCAGTCGTTCCGTATTCCTGGCCGTGTCGGGCATTTCTTCATTCATGGAGGACCTCCGTTAGCTCCCACCTGAACAGGCGTAGTTTAAAGGTCACTTAGGAGGGGCCTTGAAACCTAGCCTACATTAGAGACAAATGCTCACGATGCTCACGTTCAACCTAGTAAGACTGACCCCACATGCGTGTGGTTTCTGCAGCCGGTGGCTGTCACTTGTCGGATGACGATCTGGAAAGCAAAGTCGTACGAGAAGTCGTCTGTATTCAGATGATCGCCTTTAGACCATCATCGCCTGCGCCGTTGGTTGGCGCCGGGTTTCCGTTAGCTCAGGGGCTGAAAATTCTCCAGACCTAGCGTAGCGGTGCCTCCAGAGGCTGACTCAACATCGTGGCAACGGGGGCTCGAGATGAATGAGTGAAAACCGATGCAACATTAGCTGCTTGCAACATTAACTCACATTGCTCAAATGAGGCTAGCCACAGCTGCCATCTCACTTATGAGATAGCCGCAGACTTTTCCCCCGTGCCCCCGCACCGGCGAGAGAACAAGAATAACACTATGTGGCGCACAAAAGTTACGTCGCAGCTTTTGGTGCACCCCCAAAACAAATCATTGAGAAGCGTGGCGCAAGGTTGAATAGATCCCCTTCCGGTTTAGAGAACAGATTTATGGGAACCATGCGGCAGAGAACAGACCGACCACCTTTTTAACCGCCCATCAAATTAGTAGCGTAGCATGAGAAAGGAAGCATGGATGACAGACAGACAGTGATTGATTGATCAAATTCGATCCGATTTATGCATGAGGTCTCCCCACAGCTTTACATTGAACGAATCATAATGGCAGCAATCGCGGCGGTGATCTATTTGATGAGCTATATGATGTGCCGAGGATTCTCCTTGCTCATGTGAAATAGCTAACATGTTGCATGATATATCCTGATGAGAGCTCCCAGCCCGGGTTGGCAGCCAGACTGGAGCAAAACAGGGAATGGAGGCCACACATGACAGTGGAACACAGTCGAAGATCCTGCCGACTATCGAAATATTGGGGTTGCCGTACTTGTGTGATGACGGTTGAGGGCCCAGCAGCCGAGACATTGGGACAACCAAGCCACTTGAGCGACATTGTGCTCGGTGATACAGAACATAATTATTGTTTCCTCCAACTCCGTACTTCTGCATCCTCCCGCCTCCTTTCTCCGGCTCATGACGAGAACTAAATCTCAATCGCCCTTGGTGAGCTTGAGTTGTATTGGCTGTATCGTGATGGCCCACGAATGAACTCAGCGACGGGCCCACGTCACCGCTACGTCGAGAGTGTCCGGAGCGTTCGGTCGCTGCACTGATAAAGATTGCCGAGGAAACGAGACGAGCTGGCATACGCTATGCAACTGCAACTTTCGGAGGAACGTGTAGTGGTAGCGGGGTGACGGGTCTTTCATCACTTTCCCATAGAAGAGCAGGGATTAGACGGCCGAGCCAGGCCGAGCTGGAAGTCAGTAAGGCGGCAGTAATCCGCGAGCATCTGGTGTTTCCTAAGATCAGGTTCGAGTCCATGATTGGCTGTGACTATGTAGGATATGCCGCCAACTAGTTGTAGGCTGGATGCTTTGGCGGAACTCGGATACCTCACAGGCACCTCGGCAGCCCTGTGCGCAGCTTGTAGGATGTAGCTAGCCCAGTATGCATCCAACGCGCTCGCTAGCGTCCTGTTGGCGCATGACTTACACCAATTCGCATCTGTGTATCACCAGAAAATAGATATCGTCTGGGGACCGGTCACCGAGATCTCTGTTGGAGCCCCACGAAGGTGTTCCGTGACGGAAATGGAAGAATTAGAGTTCAGCATCCTGGCTGGTCTTGAGAGAGGGAAAGATTTGAGGGTGTCGTAGAAAGACATAGGAATCTTGGCCCCACCTTGGCTTGATGTATGAAACGATACGATCGAAACTAGTCATGTTGACATGTTCGTAATCTTTCGGGGCCGTCACAATTCCACATGCTGGCCAGGTTCAACGTGCAGCTGAAGCTCGGCAACTCAGGTTGGTGACACCGTAGGCTAGTGGGACAAGAAAAAGAAGAAGAAGAAGCAGAAGCAGAAGCAGAAGCAGAAGCAGAAGAAGGAACGAAGCCGGGCTAAGCGAGTTTGACGGTTGGAAATTGAGAGCTCTCGCCCAAGTATCGTGTCTCAAACTGACGAACGAGACTTGCTGGGGTTTTCTATAGCGCCTGATGCCGGCAACCCTGCATTCCCCCTTGTGCCCGTCCGCAGGGATGGGCGCAGATCATCCAATCATCGCCCGAAGTTGTATGGGCATGGGGTAACGCGACGTCCCAGCCAATCTGCATCGAAGTGCTTGGTTGGGAAAATTCAGACGAACGCCTCCGCGATATTCCTTTCAACGATTAGACCGTTGGGCACTGCGGTTTGTCGCTGCAGAAAGGCTTCCTCCATTCCTACTTGTTTCTCGCCTCGGAATTCGGGCGTGCGGGATGGAACGGCGCTCCAGCTAGCATTCCTCGACCAGCCGTTGCCCTAACACATCAAGTAGTGGCGCTGAGGCTATTTGTTAGCCTACGCCTCTTGAAGACTCGTGGAAGTCATTGTTGGACGCGCTTCTTTGCAAGCAATTAGGGACGGGTAGAAATCTTCACTAGCCGCCTCCCTTGATCCTGGCGGGTCTCTAGAGCTGGATGATGTTGGCGTAAAATCTCGCAGCCCAGCCGTACGTGGCAATATGCACCAAGTTGTGATTGGCTCTTTCTTGTGAGTGTCTACGACATTGTCATGCATCGGGCTGGCAAGCTGAAAAGCTCGTCCTTCCCTGCGTTGACCTAACCAAGCTCTGCTGAATGCCGTTTCTTTTCCCATGTCTTATAGGACTCGAGTGGACATCCATGGATGTCAAACCCCCGTCTCTACTGTCAAACTTCGTGCCGACCGTGAAACTCTTTCTTTGGATCAGCCTAGACCCAACATTGTTGCCGTCTCGGAAAAACATCACGCTATGGGCAAAAAAAGAAGCCCATCGTGCGCGCGCTAAGTCGTCAGAACCAGCGAGTCACCGTTGGTAGGTCCGAGCAGCCTGGAAATAGGTAGGGTCGCCGACCTTGGTTATGTAGGTGTGGATGGAAAAGAGGCTTGCTCTGATCTTGATCGGCTCGGCTGCCCCTTACCGGCGACCACCTTTTCCCCGATCCTCTGAGGTCGATCAGCTCAGACCAGCTCAGGAACACCCGGCCCTTGCCCGGGCGAGGTATAGGCACATCGGTCAGGACTCCAGTACCTCCTGACATACTAAGTCGTAGCTTGAACACTAGCCATCACTGCTGCGCCCAGTACAGACAATCAGCCGTGAAGAAGGTCCTCCAGCCTGTCTTTTCCGAATACAATTCTCAGTGATGGGTGGGGATACGCCGTGAGATTATCCACTGTCGCGCCAGAGCATCCGCAGGTCCCGTACCGCCATTTATGTCTTACTCTGGCATCCTTGATATGTCTTGGACAGGCCCGCAGTCTTCCCTGAGGAAGCACGCCGCTTCAAGCCCCCCTCCCCTTAAGTTGGCTAACGGCCGCTCGTCCTCGAGCTTGCCACGCGAGCTGGGAGATATATCAATGAGCCGATAGCCCGTCGCGGTCAAAGAGAGACATTAGAGAACGAGTCGACCCTGGGCGGACCCTCCCAGCCTATTGTCGCCAACATGTCTGCAACGACAGAAGATCTGTTCGCCAAGTATCACGGGCACATCGTACCGCGAGCTTTCAATGGCGGCTTCATTACACTGAGCTTCGCCGTCAGCTTGATCGGTGCTGCCTCAACGCTTGAGTTGTTGAATCGAAGAACTTCGCCCAAAGGGAAGTTCAACCAGTATGTTGCTTTCGCCCCTTGATCATAACGCTATTTCGCTCACATAGCGCAGTTTGCTCTTGGTCAGCGCTGCCGTAACCATGGGAGGAATTGCAATTTGGTGCATGGTACGCAGAGCAGTGTTGGTTGCTGATTCCTATCTGACATCAAGATAGCATTTCATCGGAAACCGAGCAATCGACTTGGCGGATGGGGAGGCAGAGCTGCAAATCGCCTACTCGAGTGGCTTTACGGCCTTGTCTTTCTTCGTCCCAATTGCGGTCCTTCTCGCTGCGTTCGTCGCTGTCGGTATCAACAATACTGTATCATGGTGGCGAGTTGCCATCGGAGGTGTCTTGGCTGGTGCCGCCATATGTGGGATGCACTATCTCGGCAACAACTCCATCGACAATTACATCTGTATTTACAACCCAGTAAACGTCATCGGTGCAGCTCTCATCGCTGTAGCAGCCAGTATCGTGGCCTTGTCTCTCTTTTTTGTGTTTCGCGCGGCATGGACGAACTCTTGGTGGAAGCGAGCTACATGCGCCGTTGTATTGGCTGGGGCTGTTTCGGGAATGCATTGGTGTGCAGCTACTGGCACAGAATATCAGCTTGTTCGTCTTAACACCGGCAGCAATGAGCTTTCTCGCAACACTACTGTCATCGTCGTTATTTGCCTGGTAGGTTTTCCAAACTTTATCTGTTGTCGCTGACGCGTGGTCACTGACGTAGCGGCTAGTCTATCGGCGCGTGCTTCATCATGGGCGGAACAGCCATCTATACAGCCAGGATAATGAGACGCTATGCAAGTAAAGCTCAACAAGTTGTACTTGCCGCTGCCGTATTTGACAGGCACAACCGAATTCTTGTCAACCCTGACGGCCTGATACCTACCGAGAAGATCACCGACACGTTCCTGGAGAAGAACGCGAGCGACAACTTCAGCATATCCCACCCTCTTTTTCTGTGGATGTTTCAAGCATCCAGGAACTGGTCAGGTATTTCGACGTTGGTTGGTGGAATGATGAACCACCTTGCGCACCTTCCTCGTCGAGGCCGGGACCGCGACTCTCGAGCTGGTATCCAGCTGATCAACGAGCACGGCGAGCTGATTGAGAATTATGACGTGATTTTTCGGGAGCTCTTTTGCGTTGCCGCCGCCGGCCTGGCTGAGAAGATGAAGGAACACATAACCTCCGCCGGTCTTCTGTGGGATGAGATTCTGCCAACAGGGGCAGGAGGGGAGCGTCCCGGACTGGAAGCGGAGTCGTCTCAAGAACCCGATATGATCTTGAACCCCGACGGAACAGCCCGCAAGGTTGAAGCATCTGGCAGGGCCGAAGACCTCGCTGAGAAGGGTCTCAGCCGTCGTCGTCCTCACGAATTTGGTCGCGGTTCGCTTATGTTCTTGGTACGCCGGGTCCATACCGATCGAGAAATCGAAAGACTCGAGGCAGCTGGCTATCGCTTCGCTGAACTGCGACAGGTCGGTAATATTATCGGTTCCAGCATGCAGATCAAGTCACAAGATCTCGAATCAAAACTGCGGAACATGGCTGCTTACGCAGACGACAACAGCCAACTCGAACCTGGCGTACACGTGGGCTTCTTTGGCATTCGCGCTCGTGTCGGTGGTTATGGGTTCGATGTTTTGGTGCGCAAAGGTGCTCGGAACTTGCTCCCCAGCGTACATATACCCATTGATCATATCGAGCCGTGGCAGGTGGATTTGCTCCGCCAGGTCGACCGCTTGACACCGCTCGGTGTCAGCAGACGGTTGGCATCATTGAGTAATCTGGGCACCAGAGAGATTCTCTTCGCACAACAGCTGACAGATAGTATCGACGCGCTTCGGACGTGGATGAACGACTCGATATTTAACGAGGCGATTTTGACAAGCACTGTGGTCAATCTTCCAGGAAATAAGGCAGAGGGGTCTCCGTCTCAGCCAACAAGCCTCATCACCTTTCGCTTGGTGATCCCAATTCACGTCAACTTATCCAGTAGCAAATGCGAGTTCGTGCCGCTGAATTTCTTCAAAGTCCACCAACTCGTTGGTCGCGGCGCGTCTCGGCACCTTGCATTTACCCAATCAGTACATCGCGAGATGGCACCCGTCATCCAGTCCGTCCCATTGGAAAAGCCCAAGCCTACAGTGCAGAGCAAGCGACAGTCTCGTCTGCCGTCCGCCCTGCGCAGGCTTGGACAGCTTGGGCAGTCATACCCCGTCGACTCTGAAGGGAACCCGATACCTACGGTGCTGAATCGATCATCGTCGGCAACAAATTCGCATGGATCGAGTTCGACGCTTAAGCTGTGGCCAGGACGCCGTAGCAGCGACGCCCTGTCACCAGGGGGCGGAAGCTTTGATGCGCCCCCGGCATACCCAACCCACGAAGCCGCAATTCAGTCTTCGCCCTTTGGCGGCATTGTAAGTTGATATATCATTGTGAAAAATGGTTGAAATCCCGTACTAACAGAAATTGCAGATGGTGAGCGAGGAAATCCGGGTGGAGGTGCACTCGGCAGGAGAGGTCGCCCAGGCGGAAACTCAGGACATAGACAAGACAAGCCGAAGGCCCCAAACACTGATTGGTAGAAGGGCAAGTGACAACCCATCAACGACGGGTGGCGGGATCGGAATCGGGATTGGAGGCGAAACGGCGGCGCCCGCAATGGAAGAGGCACGAGGCAAGGCCTCTTCTCATAACGGTGGTGCGATCGAGATGAGGACGTTGCCAGTGGCAGAAATAAGAACCAAAGTCCATGCCGGGGGCGGCGTCCAGATCTCTAATGTCGAAGCGGAGAGATCAAACGATATTCTCACGTTTGTCGATGAGTTGTTCACGATCTGTGTTGAGAGAAGTTGACGGGTTCACGATGGAAGCATGTTGGTTACGAACGAGTACCGAAAGATGTAGTGAATCGAGATAGATACCCTACCTATTGAATGAGCCAGACCAGGCTGCCTTACTAAGTAACCCGGTTATCTGCATCATGCATTCCATTCCGGATCAGGATGGCCCCGCTCGGCGACTGCTTCCTCACTTTCGATTGGTTAATAGCCGTCGGACCGCTACCCTCCATTGACGTCAATTCTCCCGCATTAGGCTCTTCTGGGGCAATTTGAGGGAAGCTGAGGCGGACCTGGAGCTGGAATGTGAGTGAGGCATGCATGCATGTCCGCGTGCCTTTGGTCCGTATCGAGGCTATGGGACGGTGAAAAGAGCGTGGATTATCAGTGCTTGGGAGGCTAAGGCACAGTGTGGGCGGGTATTTAACCAAGCCCGCATCAATCCGCAATTCATCGCTGAGTGCCTTGGTAAGGTAGGTAGCTTCCACGTCCCCAACTTACCTACTTCCAATCAACGCTTCTACCAATCTCGGTATCGATGTAGCCTGTAGCCGTCCGCGTCACCTTCCATATGCCTTAGGTCCTCGTGCTTGACGCTGAGACAGACGGTCTCTTAAGAGAATAGAGCCCAGTTAACAAGGTAGGCAAACCCGTCAACGCCTTCCATTCTGCTTTCCGCTTCCATTGGAGTTCACCTATACGAAGCAGAAGCATTCGCCCGCCTTCAGTCTCGCCCGATAGCTTCCATCTCCTCCTCCTCCGCCACCGAGACGACGGCGACATGGCACCCATGCCCAGGTCTGGTGCTGGGCTTCTGCGCCGAATTGCCCCAGTTGCTGGTGTCCTGACAGCCGGTGGTGCCATCATCTACTACACCTACCGGCCCCGGAATATCCCTGGCTTTGAAGCTGCCGCTGTGCCACCTCCCATCTATGGTGCCGACGGTACTTTCAAGCTTCCGAGCTTCCCCAAAGTCAAATCTCGAGATGAACAGATCAGAGAGTTGAGACGCAGCGCTTTGCCAGATGGGGAATATGATGTCTTGATCGTTGGCGGCGGTGCCACCGGCACGGGAGTCGCTCTCGACGCGGCGACTCGTGGGTTAAAAGTCGCTCTGGTCGAAAGAGATGACTTCTCCTCGGGCACCTCATCCAAGAGCACGAAACTCGTCCATGGCGGTGTACGATACTTGGAAAAGGCCTTCTGGCAGTTGGATTACAGCCAGCTTCAATTGGTCATGGAAGCTCTCAAAGAGCGCAAATACTTTTTGCAAACCGCACCCCATCTGAGCATGTGGCTTCCTATCATGCTGCCCATCGACCGCTGGTGGAAGGCCCCGTACTATTGGGCTGGTACAAAAGCCTACGACTTTCTGGCCGGGAGCGAGGGTATAGAAAGCTCTTACTTCCTTACCCGATCCAAAGCTCTCGAGGCTTTTCCCATGCTGAAGCGAACGGATCTTGTCGGCGCCCTTGTATACTACGACGGCGCTCACAACGACTCCCGTATGAATGTATCCATTGGCATGACGGCGGCTCTGTACGGAGCCACTGTAGTCAACCACATGGAGGTTCTTAGTCTGCAGAAAGATGCCAGTGGGAGACTGTGCGGTGCTACTGTCAGGGATCTTGTGGCCAGTAAAAACGGCCAAAAGACACAAGATGTGCCTGTAAAAGCAAAATGCGTCGTCAACTGCACAGGTCCCTTCACAGACTCAATTCGCAAGATGGATCGGCCCGACTGCAAAGCTATCGTGAGCCCGGCTTCTGGAGTTCATGTTATTGTAAGTACATTTAGACTCTCCTATCTCTCTCTTCTTGGCCACTAAGCCGTTGTCGTAGCTTCCTGGTTACTATAGTCCCTCCAATATGGGACTCATCGACCCCTCCACCTCTGATGGCCGTGTCATTTTCTTCTTGCCGTGGCAAGGCAACACAATCGCCGGAACCACCGATGAGCCCTCGTCCATCTCACAAAATCCCTTGCCCGATGAAAAGTCCATTGAGTGGATCCTAAAAGAAATCAGCCATTACCTCTCTCCCGACATTAAGGTCAGACGTGGTGACGTTCTCGCTGCTTGGTCCGGCATCCGCCCTCTCGTCAAGGACCCCAAGGCCAAAAACACGGAATCGTTGGTCCGAAACCATCTCGTTGACATATCAGCCTCTGGTCTGCTTACATGTGCGGGCGGGAAATGGACCACGTATCGACAAATGGCCGAAGAATGTGTCGACGCTGCCATTGCCGAGTTCAACCTCCAGCCAAAGCCTTTGAGGGATCCTCCGCGAATGAGTGGCACTAATATCATCGATGACGGCGCCATTCTTGATGGAAGCTGCAAATCCCATGAGGTCCGTCTTATTGGAGCACATGGATTCAGCAAAACGTTGTTCATCAACATTATTCAGCATTTCGGCATCGAGACCGAAGTAGCAAAGCATCTTACTGAGAGCTACGGTGACCGTGCATGGACTGTCGCTTCCCTGTGCCGACCAACCAACAAGCGCTTCCCTGCCCGAGGCGAGCGAATTTCTCAATTGTACCCTTTTGTTGATGGAGAAGTGAGATATGCAGCCAGACACGAGTACGCTCAAACAGCTGTGGACGTGCTGGCTCGACGGATGCGCTTGGCCTTCCTCAACGCTCAAGCTTCCCTTGAAGCTCTGCCCCGGATCATTGACATCATGTCGGAGGAGTTGGCGTGGGATACGCAGCGCCAGGAGCTTGAATGGAGAGAGAGTGAGTAAAACCATTTTCAAACCGGCCCTCCCTTCACGCTGCTGCTGTGCTCTGCTCATTCTCATTAGCGGTCGGCTTCCTCGAGTCTATGGGGCTGCCAAAACCCATGCTTTCGGCCACCAGGACCCAGGTCGAACAGGGCAAGATTGACTTTGCCAGCTCGTTGGAGTACAAAATGTATTCTAGGCACGATGGCACTGCCGACGAGTAAGAGGTATTGCGGTCGAAGGGTTACCCCGCGGTGTCAAAACCATGAGAAATCCCCAAGGACTAAGGATGGAATCTAACAAAACGGCAACAAGAATACTCCAAAAGAATTGAATCGCACCAATCAAGGGATTGCGGATCTTCTTTCGCGTGTGGTTTGGGGATCTGTTTGTCTCTTTGTTAGACGGCGCAACCATCTCAGAAAATACCAAACAACGATAAACAACTGTCGGCTGCCATTGTGCGATGCAATAGGAATCACTGTGCGATGCTTCTGGAGGCAAGTGCATGCCATGCCTAGTGATCCTAATTACTCTTACACCACTTGTCAACATCCATACTTGCCGCGTCACAAAGTCACGATCGTAGGGTTAAGAGAAAGAACTTAGATCGGATATGTGTTATACATTGACAAACATTGGGCCTAAATGCATAGCCTGTTTGCATGCCCCGACTGCTCTAAAAAAAAAAAAAAAAGGAAGAGGAAAGAAGAGAGAAAAAGTCATAAGCCTCGTCCAACCGTTGCGTGCGAATGCATATGAGATAAGTTGGCGAACCGTGGACCTCAGAAAAAAAAAGTGCCTGCTTTGCTTAACCATGTCTGGTCTGGTAAAGCAAAAAAAAAAAAAAAACCCCGAATCAAATGAACCGCTCCCACCAGCTCCTCGCAATGCATCATGATATTTTCCAGGCCAGGCCTTTAAATGCCACAATAACTCCTCATCCATGTGTCCGAACCCATGTCTATGATCCCTTTTTGTTTTCCAAAATGCAGTCGTGATATCTTTCTTGCCACCCAAAAAAAAAAATACAATGTCGAAGATGAAAATTGAACGCCGATAAAATGTGCAAAATGTAGGTGTCGAGGTCTCGCGGCAATTTTGTCAAGGTATCGCCTAGAAGCCGGAGACGCTCGCAAACGATGTGATGGTGGCGCGTTAACTAGAAGTGCTGCTTGCACGACGAACATCAATGTTGATGTCTTTGGGTATAGGCCCCATGCTGAAAACGCGGTGCAAGAGGCTGCGTTTTGTCAAACTCGTTCGTCGGTATTGATATTCGTGGTCGTACTGGCAGGGCAAAGGAGGACTGCTTTGCTTACTCTGCCGGTCGAGTTCAGCGTCCCATCCGTAAAGGTCCTCATCCGGGGCAACATGGCAATATGTTCCAGGCTCCGTGTTGTCTACAGCGATATTCTCTTCGGGATGAACATTGATCCCAAGGAGGTTGGAGAAATCGGTGAATTGACAGTCAATTGGTGGAGAAGCAGGCAGCGGCAGGTCGCTCGGTTTCATGTCTGCTTTACCGAATACATTCACAATGTGGGCGTCTGTCTTCTCGGTCCCCGATTCACACTCATCGGAGACAGTAGCTGGTGTTTCCATTGTAGAGGGAGCGTGGATGTCGCGAACCGCCGGCCTCGGCGTGGATTTCGCATCGTGATCTTCGGATATCTCGGTGGTAATTTTGAGTGGAACCGGCGTATTTGTCCGAGCTCGGACACGGATTGGCCGTCGCACCAGCCATGGACGATTGGGGTTGTACGGAGCAAGTTCTTTCGCGGCCATGCCACCTCTACGTCCACCATTCAAGTGGTATGAACCAGCGTTGGCAACCTTCTCAGTCTCCTGATTCGCCCCGGCAAGAGGCAGCCGTTTGCCAGGATGAGGCTCCTCCCAAGGGTTGAAGAGATGACGGACGCGGGAGAGACTGTCCAAAGGGAGGTGAGAAGTGGATGTTGCGGGGGTGGTGGATGTAGATGATAGCATGACCTCTGATTCCTATAAGGTGTTGCTCTGGCTAGCTTCAGCCATGCTGATGTCTCCGTCCAGAGGGGCGGACGACGTAGGGTTATTTCGGCGGTTTGAGCGTGACTTGCGGTGCAATCCCAGCTTCGCGCCGACCTTTTTCCAGCCGTTGTTGTGAGCCGTCAGTGCTCGCTGAAAGCCACCACCGGGTGATGTGCTGCTGAACGTCCAATCTGAAGTTGGTGGCGTGGTGGGGGGCGTCATGGGTTCGGTACCAGGGGAAACAGCACTTCCACTGTCGTCTGTCAACCCTTCACGCTCTGTGTGCTCACCCGATGCCGAAGCGGATCGGCTGGTAGCTCCGCTACGACCAACAGTCAGCTTAGGAAGAAACTTAGGAGATCGCCCGGGTTCTTCTAACCTGGCTCCTATGTCATCCGCTCCACGAGCGCGCGAGCGGCCCTGGCGAATATCAATCGGGTCTTCGTCCATGCGGACATCGCTGTGACTCGGCAATGCTGATTCGATGAATGGAAGGAGAACGGAATCATTCATCAACTCGTATACGATCCTCACGGCCTCATCGAGCTCGGATGGCGGGGGAGGGGTGGTCGAGCAAGTCTGGGCAATGAGACGATCTCGCACGGGAGAGGGGAGATTGACTTCCCGGGGAGAGTAAGGGATGATGTAGGCTTGCATCAGCTTCTCCCACAGTTGGCAGACATGATCGTTTCCACCCTCCCCGGCCCAATCCTTGTTGGTGATAAATTTGTCGTAATCCTTGCGGTATCGCTCCGCATCCATAGTAAACTCCAGAGTTTCCAAGCAATGGTTCTGAGAAAGGTAGGCCATAAAAGCGGCCAAGGTCCACGGAGGAGAAGACGTGTTGGCAAGAATTTCGGAAAGTGAAGGTGGCGTGACAATGACAGCGCCGGGCATCAAGGACCCGCTGGTGGGCCTGGATCTCGACATGACTATGTTGGTTTCCCAGCCCGTAGTTGAGGCTGAACTGGGTGGTGACAACTCCCTCTCGGGAGATGGTGATGGACTCAGGTAGATGGGGGAGTGTCTCCGTATCCTGGACCTTTTCATTTCCACGCAAAGGTGTTAATCAGGAATAAAAGGTGCCAATTGTCCCACTCCGAGGAAGGGGAGATGACCTGGAAGACGGAGGTAGCCTGGCTTGCCTAGACTTGCTTCAAGAACCCCATAGAAGGCCGTTGACCTGGTCGACGAGAACTGGAATATGTACGGATAGTTTGCCAATAGGATGGTGTTGTTCAACGCCAGCAACTCAGCCAATGTCGATTTTCCGTCGTCCAAATGCTGCCGACCTATGCCCAAGATTCTTGTATGCGAAGGCAGTACCGAATTTTTTTCTTCGTCGCTAGTAGGTGTTGAGAGTGTTGATCGTGTGATTGAGCGTTGTGGTGAAGTGGCTATGTCAAGGCGTCTAGCCAGAGGAGAGAGACGACTGTGGGCGGGGGAACTGACGACGTGCTGGAACGGACGGGGCCCACGCGAGGTAAATAGCCCAGGGAGCGTTGCAGATGAGGACGATTCCTTGGGGTGGGCTTTGCAAAGAGGCTTGCACTAAGGCAGCGCTGGAGACGCTAGAAGTGTCTTGGTGACGGGAATGGAATTGACTCGTTGCAATCGTCAATAGGTGAGCGCAATGCTGCTTGCAGAAAGTGGTGGAGAGCAGTAGTTGGACGGCAAGAATGCGCCAACTGCCAAGGTAGCCGGCTGGCAGAATGCTCGAGGAGATCTATGCGGAATGCGACCAAGCCACACGTTCGACTGCGGACCAACAGACTTTGCGGATGAGTTACGATCGCGGTAGGAAACGGGTCCCGAGTAGTTCGTGGCTTGCAGTATGGCGACGTGACGTCTTGATGGCTGGGCTGTTCGGGGGCGTGGTGGATGCTGATCGAAGCAGAAGGCGGCACGCGTTGGGCGGTCGAATTCGTCGATACTGTACGAGACAAGAAAAGGCGCCCGGTATCGAAGTACTTGGACTGGGAGAAGAAGATGGGTGTGGTTATGCAACAGCGAACGAGTGACCGAGACTTGAAGTTTGAGCCGGACAGTGGTGGCGGCGAGGAAGATGGCGTTCGGCGGATGCGGAATGTGGTTTCTCCAAGAGTGTCAATCAGGCGGGATGGTGATGTCGAAGATGGATTCGAGCGACTGATTGGAAGAGTGAGGAGGAAGAAGAAGAAGAAGAAATGGAAACAGCGTGATGTCGAGAGGGTCCGAATTATTGATTGACAAGTAGAGGGATGGTGAAGCATTAACGGCAGGAATGATGTGGATGGGTCGTGGTGGGAGAAGAGAGACAGAGAGAGAGAGAGGAACATAAGGTAGCTAAAAGCAGTCGGTTCCCGCCAGTCGTGTCGCTCAGGTGGAGGGAGGCACCTCATCCAGGTATCCGTACTTGCTGGCGGCGACGGCCGTACCGTACCGTAAGGCAAGGAATGGTAGGCGTAAGTATGGGCATTGAGGGGGCCACCAGGCAGGGAGTGTGGTCCGTACGGTACCGTACCTTAGCTGGGCAGGTACCTGAGGAACCTCCGCTTTAGCGCGAGCTTCTAGCAGGTCGGCAAGGGATCTAGGGGGAGGTACGTACCCAAAGCCTTTTGCCTCGCCTCACCTCACTTGCCCAATTGGGAGGGAACGTACCGCAGTGCTGCATACCAGTACTGCGGTAGGTGGTCGCGGCAGGGGTCGAACACTTCCAAGGGACTTGGACCGGGGAGTGACATCAAATCAGATGCCTTCTGCTTCTCCTTGCCACCCATGCCCGTTCCCCATCCACCAGCACCAGAGTGACCAGACCATGCCATCGACCAACTACCAAGCCGGCACCATCCAGGCAGTTTTCTCGGTCCAAATCAATCATTAATCATCCAGTCGCTCTGATCCGCGAGGAGAAGGGAGACGTGGACGCCGGGTTGAGAGAGCGGAACGTCCAGTGAGCTCGACGGGAGTTGGAAGAAGCGGACAGAGAAATATGTGCCTAAGGTAGAGTACAATAAAAACCAAAAACTCAAGAACCAAGAGGATCCTACCCCCCAGTCTAAGTGCCTATAGGAAGTCAGGGCGAATGTACCCGCACACGGGACAAGGCCGCAAAAGAGGCAGCGGGAGCAGCGCTGGCTAGCTGTGGCGATACCTCACTGCTGGCGAGCATCCACTCAGGTAGCGAGCCACTCCATCACGGCGCTGGCCCACCACCCTGTGCGGAAATACTTACAGGCTGTGGACAGGGGTTGATCAGGTAGGCAAAGAAGACGAGACGAGGCATACGGGAGTCTACTACCTGAGAAAGGCACATTTGTACAGTACGGCACTTGGCCCTCCAGCGTGAGATGGAATGGGCTTCAGAGATGCCTTCCTCTCGATGATGGACTGACTACCTTGCGGATGCAGTTGCCCGGCAAACACCAAAAACACACAAACAGACAGACACCTGAGGCGGAGACCAGTGGGATATCAGTGGAGGCACGCCGTGACTAACAAGCGACGGGACGCGTTGCTCTTGCGACGACATAGTGGCACAGAGACGGGGATGGTCTTCACATCGGCCAGTATCGCCGGCCGCCGGGCACGCATGCTGAGGCGATGACGGGAGTGCCCATCTTGCCATCTAGGTAGGACCTACGAATAGGCACCTCACGCCGCAGGAATTCTAAGCCACAGGCGGCTTGTTCGGTCTGCTGAGGAAGCCGCGCACGCTGGCCTGGTCTTTCCCATCCTCTCACCCCGTCCTCCATCTCCCGTGTGGTCGCATCGCCATCATGGAAGTCAAGGGGCTTGAACCCCTTTGGACCCTTTTGGCAACAGGGGTCGCTTCTACATAGTACTTGGTAGTAAGGTATGTATCTAAGGTACCTAGGTAGGTACGCGGTTGCGATGGGGCCCTGGCTGGGCAAATTCAAAATCGTCGCGGCAGACGACCATTCACAATTGAGGTGGCACAACATGAGAGTAGAAAACAAGTGGAAAGGAAGGCACAATGGAAGGTGGATGGAAGTTGGGACAAATTGCACCGTCGCAGGAAGGCGACGCGGAATGGAATGTACGGATAGCGCTAAAGTGCGAGTGACCACTGGCAACACAACCGGAAGTTGGTGGGGCCATTCTGAGAGTGACACTTGTCGGACGTGAGTACGCTGGAAGGGGAAGAAGAAGAAGAAAAAAAAGGCGTGAGAAAGGTGTGAGTGGAGCGTGGACTAGAGCGCGCTAGAAGGCTTCTAAGGTGGGGTCGAATGATCCAATAGCGCTTTGTTATCTGATGATAGGGCCCGAATAGGGAAAGTCGGTAGAAAAAACAGAGATGGAAAATGGAAGCTATGGAACTTTTCGAAGAAGGGTGGTAAGAACGCAAGGCAGGGAGGGCCCGACCTCACGCCTTGAAAGGGGGGGGGGACCAGGGTCAGGGTTGTTCAGGAGGTGAGAGGTATCCGTAGGTAGGATGAAGCATGGTGGCGGGTCTGTAGGTCGCGGTGGTCTAGGTCGTGGTCTGGTCTGGCTTGGGGTTTTCTTGCTGTCCCCCGTTCAAGAAAATGAAAAAACAAACCCAAAAAGAAGGCAACTCCCAACGCAACGTTTGGTACGGAGATTGTGCCGTGCATTATTTTATGCTGTCCGCCACGAGACAGGACCGGCGACGCGCGATACATAAGAGACGTCGGGTACGTAGTACGGCCTTGCCGTGCCCGTCCCGTCTGGACGAGTCCATCCGGGCTCAGGCTGGATGCGGCAACGTCCAACTTTCCTCTCTTTCTTTTTACTGCGTACGGATACCTATCGTCGCTTGGCTCAATGCATGCATCAAGTCTGAGCCTCTCCATCGTTTTCTTTACGCCGTCGTCAAACGTCCGTCTCACTAGTGTAGAGCAACACACCAGCAACCGTCATCGTGATGGCCAGGAAGGTAGGCTGCAGCCCTGGTGCCGGCTGCCGGTCCCCCTCCCTTGGCTCATGCTCGTCTTCTCCGTTTGATGCCCGCCCATCCAATCAACAACGGCAAACTTGTCCGCTGTCCACAAATTCCCCTCTCCTCCGTCCCATCCCCATCCCATCCGCAATGCTCCAGTGGCAGCACCGTTCTCAATCTCGCCCTCTTCCTCGCCCAGCGCTGTCGGGCGTCGGAGTGGGTGCGGACGTGGGCGTGACACATTGACGGATGGTCTTTACAACGCGTGCCAATGGCGTAATTTGATGTCACGGATTCCACCACACGGCATGTCATCAGTCTACCAGTAAGTATTCTCAGGCTTAAGCCACCCCCCCAAGTAACCGATACCTACCCCGAACCGATAGAGAAAACCGTGATTTTCACTTACTTTAACCTTTTATATCTATAGATCTGTTAAGTATATAAGTATAAAAAATATATATATTATATTATACGTATTAAAATAAGTAGATGTATACTTATTTTATATTTTAGTTAATTATATAGACTACAATTAATACTTTAATATATAGTACTTAATACTATTAAAACTTTATTAATATTTATTTTATTATTCTTTTGAGNTGAGATAATAATACTATTTAAAATTTCTTAATTCTAAGTAAAATAGAAACTATATAATAAAACCTTAATATAATAGAGTATTATAATTAGTTATCATAATATTAACTAATAGCTATAAAAACCTATATAGTAGTAATATAGAGATAATCTATTAGTATATAATATAGTATTAGTAGCTAGAAAAATAGGCTTATTTTATTAAAATTAAACATTATATTTATATAAAATTCTATTAGTAAATCTATTTAATATAGAGTTTTAAGTAATGTTAAGGATCTCTTAGTATTTAGTAAGAGAATACTAACTAAATTTCTTCTACTTTATATTTAGTTTATTACTAATAAATAGCGTAGTAATAATTTATATAATATTTTATTTAGTTATAAATACTACTAAACTAACTATATAGAAACCCTTATTATTT